GACAGCTTTGAATGTGGCCCAACACAAAGTCATAAATTTTCTTAAAACATAAGATTTTGTTTTAAAAAACAGAGTTTCGCTCTTGTTACCCAGGCTGGAGTGCAATGGTGCGATCTCGGCTCACCGCAACCTCTGCCTCCTGGGTTCAAGCAATTCTCCTGCCTCAGCCTCCCGAGTAGCTGGGACTACAAGTGTGCGCCACCATGCCCAGCTAATTTTTGTACTTTTAATAGAGATGGGGTTTCATCATGTTGACCAGGATGGTCTCGAACTCTTGAGCTCGTGATCCACCCGCCTTGGCCTCCCAAAGTGCTGGGATTATAGGTGTGAGCCACCGTGCCCGGCTGAGATTTTTTTTAAGCTCATCAGCTATCATTAGTGTTAGTGTATTTTATATGTGACCCAAGCCAATTCTTCTTCTTCCAGTGTGGCCCAGGGAAGCCAAAAGATTGGACACTCACACTCTAGAGAGTAAACCAAACTTTCTTCGTTCATGGAACTCTAAGTATCTCAATACTTTTTAAATGGGCACCTAAGCCAAAGACGTAACTAATAGTTATGTTTATTATGTAGTTATTTCCAAAGAACTTAGTAAGTATTTCTGCCTAAACAACATCGTGTTTAAAAATACAGGTAAATGGAAATAAAAATATTCTTATTTTATTCTTAAATAGCCACTATTTCTTACTAATGGCTATGTGCATCTTCTGGGCACTAACCTACCTCTCTTGGAATCAGATTGGATGAGCCAGCTTCATTTCATGTTTCACATGAATTTTCATGAGGTACTTACTTTTTATCACACACTCATCAAAAACTCAGTTTTGCAAAGAGATTATGGAATAGAAAAGAATGGAGCTGATCTAATGTTGAAATTCTGAACTAGTTCAAGCCCATCACTGTGTCATAACTGTCAAACGTGAAGTTTGAATATGTTTGCATAAAAATTTTCAAATATATTACAGCCTCCCTGTCAGCGTGGTGTGGAACCCCAGGGCATCCAGGGTTCGGAAACTATAAGTTTCATATGGTCTACTTTATTCAACCCAGAATCCTAACCTAGAGCATGCATTTTTTTACTGCATACCATCTACTGGGATCTCAAGAAACATCCCTATCATTGCCCTCTCACAACAGCACCTTAGAACATTTAACTACGTGTAACTTACATTATATTCTGAATCACAGAATCAAAGCCTAGACTCTACTGTACAAGATCTTGGATGGGTCACATTGGTTAGCAGAAATTCAAACTGAAAGCAGGAGGCAATATACTTTTATATGTATAATTCCACAACCAGTAAGACGCGTTTTTGTGTTTTTAATTTTGCATGCTATTAGACAGTGCTGTAGAGGTAACTCAATACAGTTTGTGGCTGTTTCCAGACAGCTGAGTAAGAGACTGAGTATTAACAGCTGTTAAATGAATCTTCTGTGCCCTCCACCCCCAGACTAGTCTTTGAAGGATTCTATCAGCACAAAGTCAGAATGTCAAAGAAGAAGGCCAGAGAAGGTACTATGACAAACGGATATTGGTCTTAAGTAAGCTGACTAGCTATTAATTCACAAAACAGTCTGCAAAGATTTGTGATGCAAGCTGGCTGCTGTCTAGACAGAGAGGGGAGTGTAAAACACATCAGACAGATACGACGCAGTGGTGACAAGAAAAACCTGTTTCAGTTGCACAGATGCATTTGGAGACAACCGGCTATTGCCTTCTTTATCTAAATATCTAAGTCCTAATGGGGCTATATCTAGGTACTAGGGAATTTCAATTTTATTTCGGGAGCTTTAAAACATCTTGCCCATGAATAAGGAAGAGAGTGAAGAGAAGAGAAAAAAAAAAGAAATAAAAAGAATGAGGGAGTGAGATGGAGAAAGGAAGAGAGGGAGGGAATGAAGGAGGTGAGGGGAGAGAAAGAGACAGAGGGAGAGAGTGAGAAAGAGTGACTGTGTCAGAGGACAGGAAGAAGGTAGGAAGAGAGAGTAATAAAACCAGAATGCTTAAATGTTTTCCTGAATTTCAAAGGCTATTTATGTTTTAGCATTTGGAAAATATCGCTGACCTAGTCCTATAAAATTTATCTCTTGCCTCAGATGTATTGTAGTCATGTCTGTTTTTCTTCCTTCCGCTTAACAATGGCTAAAAAAAAAATCCAGTTATTAGGGAAGCCAGTTCCTACATACTTCTATATAGTTGGATAGTTCAGAGGTCCATTAGATATAACACTCAATCAGGTCATTTAAGGAAGGTAAATGGTCATATTTATTTTTTGTTTTTTCCTCTGACATAGCAACTTCAAAGTTAATGTAAGGAAAACCCTTGGGAACTAGTAAAAGTATCATAACTAGTTTTGGCAGGCAAAACAAAACATTGTTTAAGCACAAATATGCTGACACATTTGCTTGTCCCGAAGTTCTGACTCATAACAACTCATTTAATTAGTCACTTGAGTAGTCATTTATGTGTTTAAGGGTTTTTTGTTGTTGTTTAAAAACTATGATCAGGGATTTTATTTAATGCTGCATGCTAACTGCTCATTTCCTGAAGCAGAACATTTTAACACTATAAAAGAGAAAGGAGAAATTATTGTAGCGTCATGGTAAATACAACTGTGGAGAAATCATCATAGGTCAGGAAAACTCAGTTATTAGTTTTTAATGGCTCCTGACTATACAGTGTTTCTTTTGTATATTGACAAATTTGCTTGAAATATTTCTCTGCCAGAAAAAATTTTTCAGAAAATGTTATTATTGTAGTTGGAATGAAGGGGTCTGTTTTCTTAAATGCTTTCAGATCCAACTATGTAAATAAGAAAATTCAGTGAACACACAGAGGAAAAATGTTTCTGCATTGCTAGGACAGGGGTTTAAAAGGAAGGCCTTCCAGATCTTGCTCTTTTCTACATGATCTTGCTGCAAGAAAGCAAATGGCATTTCAGGACGTTCTAGAGGTCAGGTGATTCCATGAAGATCTTTAGGACTAATTTTATTAAATGATTCATGATCAAAACTATATCGTAGAAGCAAAACAGCGAACCGTAACTGAAACAGAAGGAGTGCATGTAGGGTAAGGAATGAGGAGGCAGGGCTCGGGGTAGATGTTTCCTTCCTCCCTCCTCATCCAAATGTATTCCTCCTTAGCCAGCATATTCTGAGTGTTTTCCATTTTCAAATACACACATACTGAAAACTAAGCTGTGCAGTTTCTAAGCAGTGTTTTGAATTTGTAGATGACGGTTAGTTTGTGATTTTCCAACTTACATTATGAGAGACATTGGATAAATCATTATCACCTGTGTGTGTGATGACACTATAAAACACCACAATGAAAAGAGAGTTGCAGAATTCACTCAGAAGGCAAAATGCAACGTCAAAAGTTGCCTTAACTCATGCCAGTAGTAACATTTTTACAATTTTTGGCTCAAAATTTTAGTCTTATTTATATACAAAGCATGAAAAGACATAAATTCCTTTACAGGTTTGTTTCACATAAGCTATTTCTTATAGATAAAAGATATTTGCTTCCTACTTTTGTATCTGCCTGCCTATTTATTATCTATCTACCTACCTACCTACCTTCCTACCTACCTATCTAAAGTTATTTAAAATGGCAAATGCAAAAGATGTATTTTAACTATAGATAGATAGAGAGGCAGAGAGACAGATATAAAAGTAGGAACCAAATATCTTTTATCTACAAGACAAAAGACAGATAGATCCTGTAGGAAATCCTCCCTACAGGATTTCCATATTATCTCATACAGCAGATTTAATATCAGAAATTCCATGTATCAGGGAACTAGCAGTATGCAATTTTATTCAAAGACATTTCACAGACAAAATATGCAGTTGTGTATTTCCACAGTCTGGAAAGTGACTACAGTATGTGATGTGGTGACTGACACATTAAGTGGGGTGTTTTGCTCTAGCTGTAATTCATGACAAGAGGGCAGCAGATCAATCCCAATTGTTCCCTAAGGATGATACTCGGCCTCCCTTAAACTTTGGACCCTAATAGGGTCGAACTCTTGCTTTTAAAGATCCAGTACACAGACATGAGAGGTTCAGGGACTGATTACAGTAATCTAACCTGCAATGGTCTACAGAGAACTTTCCGGTTCCCCCAAGAAGGGTCAGAGCAAGGTCACGGCTCCTAAGACACATGTGGCAAGAGCCGCTTGACACTGAAGCAGAGGCACAAACAGGAGAAACAGGAAAATGACTTGTTTTTTTACCCTTAAACTGCAACTCTGCTGGTGGGAAAAACACGAAAGAAAATAGTCTTGCCGAGGACATACGATGAAATACCTAGACAAAAATTTGTTTCCTTTACAAACACCAGTTCAGCCTACAGGGAGCTATAAATATGCAAGAAGTCTGAGGCAGGGAACAGCTGGGCCCGAGGCTCCTGGGTCACACAGTACTGTGATCCAGTCAAACGATCTGATAATTAAGAGTGATCGGGGCAAGATGACTTTCTTCATGCTTGTGGAATAGTAAAAGTTTATGGCTCAGAGCACATAAATGAGAAATGTGGGGGAGGGTCCATTTTGCTTACCTCTTTGAGCTGCTCTCATCTGAGACACATTTCTAAGCTGGGGTTGTTAGTGGGTTCTGATCAGTACAAACACGCAGTAGATTGTCCTCCTCTACTGGAATTTTAGGAGGATGTTTTTTCATCATCGGTTTAGTTTGCTTTCTGAGCCTATAAGACTGTACTGTAAAAAGTCTGAAGTCACTGAGCTTGACCTTCTTGTCTTAATGGAACTTAATGTTTTACTAATAAAGACGCTGATGTAAAATGCAGTGTACAGACTCCATGATAAAGAAGAGATTGTCTTTTAGGGGGTCTCACATTTCCAGGGAACTACAAAAACATTGTTCAGCTTATGGCTTTAAGATAGAAACAAAGAACTATTGAGGCCCAAAAGATACATAATCCACTCCCCCCAACCAAAAAAAAAAAAAAAAAAAAAAAAACCTAAAAATTTTCTTACCAGGTTCAGCTGTAGATCTAGGTTCTGTTTGCCACATGAAAAAAATAAATGAGAACAAAGTATTAGAATTGGGTTCCATTAACAACAAAACCTATTGGTTCCTTTACATTACCTTGTCTAGGACATGTCTGAAGAAATGTTACAGTCAAACTTCATCATACAAAAGATACAGTTAAAGTGATAGTAGATCAATTTATAGTTCTATAAATATAGAAACTCAAATTCCTGTATCAACTTACACTAGAAAGTTTTTCCAATGGCAGTTCACAAATGGGCTCTAGGAGCCTTGTGAATCTCTTAAAATTATTCATGCATATTTGAGTACAAATTTATATATGCATTTTTTGAGGAGACTGAATATATAACTTTCATTAGAGTTCAAGGGGGTCACAGTTTCCATACTGGATCTCAACATACTGTAGATGATCTGATCTCACCACTCTTTGAAAATTGAGATCAATTCATCTCAATGATTTAGCCCTTCTTGAAGCTGGAGAGAATACAATGGTCAGATTTGGTGATGTGGGCACTTCTCCTTACTTTTCTGTAGAATTCGGAAATCTGGGGAGTCTTGGATTTCACTCCCTTGCCGAAACCACTGGACCTGCAGAGGGAGTGCCCCTCGGACCCGGCACTCCAGAACCACCACCTGGCCTTCTGCCACAGCTGTGTTTTGCAGTTCCTGAAATCCAAGGAAAACGTACCCCGTGAGACTGTGGAGCATTTTTAAGCAATTTATCACACAGAATAAAAATTCCGGCCGGGCGCGGTGGCTCACGCCTGTAATCTCAGCACTTTGGGAGGCCGAGGCGGGTGGATCACGAGGTCAAGAGATCGAGACCATCCTGGTCAACATGGTGAAACCCCGTCTCTACTAAAAATACAAAAAATTAGCTGGGCATGGTGGCGTGTGTCTGTAATCCCAGCTACTCAGGAGGCTGAGGCAGGAGAATTGCCTGAACCTAAGAGGCGGAGGTTGCGGTGAGCCGAGATCGCGCCATTGCACTCCAGCCTGGGTAACAAGAGAGAAACTCTGTCTCAAAAAAAAAAAAAAAAAAAAATTTCCAAAGCTTAGACAAAACAGATACAAAAACAAAATGCAAAGCTTGCATCATAAAATAATTAGCATGAACTCAGGTAAGCATAAACACCTTTGAACCCACTGATTATCAGCTTTTCACGCTCTCCAAGTCATAAATTGAGTCAAGTTTACCATAAGTCCTGTAGAACTTTCTGGCCTGTCTGCAAATTTTCATTGACTGTTCTGCATTTATGGAATTTGACAGTAAACACTGTTAACTTTATCTACATTTAAGAGGAATTGGGTGGAATGAGAATTTCTTAAAACAATCACAATCTAAATAAACGTAGATTCTTATGAAAACCAGACAATTAGAGACAAAAGACATGCATTTGTTGTCACATCCCCTAGCCTTTTCATGTACCCCCTCTGCCCAACTAGTTTCCTGTGTCGAGTTTATTTAGAAAAGGGGTTTCGATATTTTCTCATTTTGAGATTCTGAGTAATGAAACAGGCTGCACTTTTTCCTTATTGACCTTCATTTCCTCCTTCCTTGCTCCCGGCTTTTTTGTCCCTGACCACACTCCAACTCCAGACCAATAAATCTTTACAATCTAACAGATTAGAAATTAATTGGGCTTTATAAATACAAAGAGGTAAAGCTTTTATACTTGTTCTTAAATATCAGGACATTAATATTTCCCTCACATATATCTTCTCTCTACCATCCTTCTCCAGAATTAACTGGCAATGGGGACTTTTAAACTTTTTTACTATTGAAACTTCTGACTATAGAATATTGGATTTAGGCCAGGTATAGTGGCTTACTCCTCCCAGCTCTTTGGGAAGCTGAGGCAGTGGATCGCCTGAGGTCAGGTGTTCAAGATCAGCCTGACCAACAAGGCGAAACCCCCCCCTCTACTAAAAATACAAAAATTAGCTAGGTGTGGTAGCACAAGCCTGTAATCCCAGCTACTCAGGAGGCTGAGGCGGGAGAATTGCTTGAACCCGGGAGGCAGAGGTTGCAGTGAGCCGAGATCGCGCCACTGCATTCCAGCCTGGGTGACAAAGCAAGACTCCATCTAAAAAAAAAATATATATATATATATATATATAGGATCTAATGTAGAGTGTACGACTCTTAAAATAACTCAAACATGATAAAGTAATTTATCCACATATAGACCAAAAGCAAACAAATTCACCTTAGGAGGTGTGGGGTTTTTTGTTTTGTTGTTTGTGTGCATGTGTGTATAAATTAAAAAACAAATCTGCAGCCAATGGCCTGCAGTAAGTGTGTTAAAACCCCGAGGAAATTCTAAGGCCTATGATGTTGGCAGAAAAACTATAAAAGTCCAATGTGAAGACAGAGAAGACATTTGATAAAAATTTTGGTAGTTAACTAGACCGTCTTTAAGTAAAAAGGTTTAGATGATCAAGTATTTCTGATTGGATTCTTCTTTCTTATTTTTCAATGAAGAAAATCTCTGGTTTTAAATCAAATTTTTCTTCCTTTGTGACTGGGTTCATAGAATAGCTAATTTATTAGCTCAAACAGGGTAAACGTCACTTATGAGGGCCAGCTTCTATGGATTAACCTATTAAATGTCTCTAGGCTTGTCCAGGAAGCCGTTCAGACTACAAATGGCATCAAAATATTTTTTATGCTTCAGCTTTGAGGCACCAAAAGAGACTTTGATTTATTCCTAAGATTATGCTTTTTTTTTTTTTTTTTTTTTTTCAGTGTAAAAAAGTCAGAGATGTAGGAAATGGGTATCCACCAAGCAACTTAGGCAGTCAGAGCTCCACGGTTATTCCAGGATTACCATTTGGATCCTCCTGGAGCTAACATTTTTATCTATCTTGGCAAAAGCCATGGCTAAACATAGTAAGCCATTAGGAGAACCTTCGGGCCCACAGCAAGGAGTCCCAGAGGAGATGAAAAGTCAACCTTTGCGGGAGCTGCACCTTGCAACCTGGATCATCTACTTCATGTGGGATCTGGGGGCCCTGGGGGTTTCAGGGTCCATATAAAGGCCCTCTTGCCACACATCAAGTCCACCTGACATTGTGATTCCTTGGAGGGGTCTATTTGGGAAGAAATGTCGCATGTACGTCTATACTACCCAGAGTCCTGTGGTCCACAGCCCACCAATCTGCCAGGTGACCTGCAGGCAGAAGCACTGGCTCTGCCTCTCATCAGCTGTGAGACCCAGGAATCTTTTCCAGAGCAGCATGAGGAAACAGACAGAGGCAATGCTCGGATTGTCAAAGCCAGCCCACCTGCCACTCACTGTCACCTTCGAGCCTAAGAGAAGGACCAACGAAGGTGCGATAGGTGACAGAGTCAAGGCTAGCTTGAGTTCCAGAGGAGATCAGCAGGATTATTTTCTAAACCTACCCCTCCAAAACGAGAGCCCAGGCCTAAGAAGGACCCTGCAAATCAGAGACAGAAGCTGCCTAAAGTGAGAAAGTTTGGAAAAGCAGATGCAGCAAGGAAGGGAACAGCCCTACAGAAGAGAGATGTTCCCTGGTCCAGGCACAGAAAGTAGAGGGCTGGACAAGTGGCTCTGAGCTTCCAGTGGCTCTGAGCTTCCGGTGAATCGACAGTCTGAGAGTTGTTAAAAATCAGCCTATATAAAAAATAGAGTTTTGTTTTACTTCTCTTTAAAGCTATACTGTTAGCACAAAGAATGCTTCATGGTTTTCTTCCAGGGAAGGGGGAAAGACCGCTAATAGAATGTCTATGTTACAGGAGCAGGATTGCCATGGAGGAAACAGGATTTTGTATTTAGTATATGAGAGTTCCTCTTGGTGCCCAGGAGGAATTCCGTAACATCTACACACACCAGACCCATGCAGGAAAGCCCAGACATGAAAGAAAGCAAAACTTCACATCCTCTTTTCCTTCCCTTGGGCCACCAGCATGGACTTTATTTAAACCAAGATGTGTGTTGGGCCCTGGCACCCCCAAATCTTGGTTACCAATGTCTTGGTTACCAATACATCGGGCAGCACACCCTTTCTGGTGATGACCTTGAGAAGCTGCTTGTGCAAAACTCTTAAACTACATTTTAAATGTGGAGTATCCACCCTCTGTAAACATTTTTTGTTCTAAAAATCAAAGGAAGACTTCACTGGTTATCCTATTGGCTTAGTTTTTGGTAGGGTTTCACACAACTTCTTTCTTTTTTTTCTTTTTTTTTTTTTGAAATGGAGTCTCACTCTGTCACCCAGGCTGGAGTGCAGTGGTGCAATCTCGGCTCACTGCAACCTCCATCTCCCAAGTTCAAGGGATTCTCCTGCCTCAGCCTCCAGAGTAGCGGGGACTACAGGCACGTGCCACCATGCCTACCTAATTTTTGTATTTTTAGTAGAGACAGGGTTTCACTGTGTTAGCCAGGATGGTCTCAATCTCCTAACCTTGTGATCTGCCTGCCTTGGCCTCCCAAAGTGCTGGGATCACAGGCATGAGCCACCCCACCACACAACTTTTTTCTTAGCAGTCTACCTTTGAGGATAGTTTCCAAGCTGTTATCACCTGTTATCATCTGTCGCCTGCACCCGACTGAAAATACTATTAACTGCTTATGAGAGGATCTTTTATACAGCTTGGATTCAGCTGGCTGAAGAGAAAAAAAAAAAATCATTCCCTATATGGAGATTACACAAATGTTTTTCTTTACTGCCTCACAAAAGTTTTATAGATTTGCTTTCATATTTGTCTTTAGTTAACTAGGAATTGATTGTTGTGAAAAGCATAGGGTAGGAGTTTAAATGGACACATTCTCACCTGTGCTGAAGAATTCACTCTTTCTCCAGCCATCTGCAAGTTTCTTTAGATATTTAGTATCTTTGTGGAATATATTTTGGGTATGCATCAATTTCTCTAGCCTTGTACCAGTACGATACTGTCCTAATTACTATACCTTACAATGTCTTGCTATCTTATAGAACAAACCCCACTCCTTCCTAATATTATGTTATCTTCCTTCCTCAGATGTACCCTGGCTATTCTTAGACATTTTTTCCCTCCACACAATTTTGAATCAGGTTGCTAAATTCTATATCAAACAAACGATTAAAAACCAGGAACCTATGCTTGCTTTAGCAGCACATATATACTAAAATTGGAATGATACAGAGAAGATTAGCATGGCCTCTGTGCAAGAATGACATGCAAATTCAAGTGTTCTATATTTTTTAATGTGGCACATATACATCATGGAATACTATGCAGCCACAAAAAAAGAATGTGTTTATGTTTTCTGCAGGGACATGGATGAGGCTGGAAACCATCATTCTCAGCAAACTGACACAAGAATAGAAAACCAAACACTGCATGTTCTCACTCATACGTGGGAGCTGAACAATGAGAACACATGGACACAGGGAGGGGAACATCACATGCTGGGGCATGTTGGGGCTGGGGGCAAGGGGAGGGAGAGCATTAGGAGAAACACCTAATGCATGCTGGGCTTAAAACCTAGATGACAGGTTGATAGGTGCAGCAAACCACCATGGCACGTGTATATCTATGTAGCAAACATGCACGTCCTACACATGTACCCCAGAACTTAAAGTGAAAAAACAAAAACAGAAAGAACAACAAAAAAACCAGAAACCTGTTGGAATTTTAGCTAGACTTACATTAAATACAGATTAATCAGGGAGTCATGACTTTCCAGTCTGTCAGTCTACAAGCATGGCATGTCTCTTCATTTATTTGGGCCTTTAAAAATGTCTTTTAATGGCTGGGCATGGTGGCTCACACCTGTAATCCCAGCACTTTGGGAGGCTAAGGCAGGCAGATCACCTGAGGTCAGGAGTTCGAGACCAGCCTGGCCAATATGGGGAAACACCGTCTCTACTAAAATACAAAATATTAGCTGGGCATGCTGGAGGGCACCTAAAATCAGTCCCAGCTACTTGGGAGGCTGAGGCAGGAGGATCACTTGAACCTGCGAGGTAAGAGGTTGCAGTGAGCCAAGATTGTGCCACCGCACTTCAGCCTGAAAGACATAGAGTGAGGCTCGGTCTCAAAAAAAAAAAATTCTTTTAATAAGGCTTTATAACTTTCTCTTAAAAAGGAAGGAAAAAGAAAGAGGAGAAATGCTATATGGAACCACTTCTGACTTGAGAGATTGACCAATGAAATTGATGTCATTCAGACTGGCAATGCAAATCCCCAACTTAGGACAAATGGAAAATTAGTCAGTTTTTCTGAATTACCATAAAACTCGCTAGCTCTCCCAAGCAATTTCCAACACAGCAGTGTTTTTTTTGTTTTGTTTTTCTGTCTTGGTTTTCCCACTAGATTTTATGCTCTATCGGGTTCCTGCTCACACCTCTCAGAACCCACCACAAGATTATAGTCAAATGGCAGTCGTCCAACAAATATCTATTTTAATCCCAAAGGTAACCATGATAATCAGCCTACTAATCTGCTCATTTTCATTTTTAAAGATTGCTACATGAAGTCACATCTAAATGAAATTTAAGGACCAAAGCAAACACAGAGAATGAGACTTCCAGATGTCAGACCTTTGTAAAAACAGGAGGAAAGTAGGGGGTGGTGGTTCCATCAGGTCGGCACAGATATGAAGTCGGACTGTGAACCTGCAAAAGCAGAGACACATGGATCAAATTCTAAGTATATAAATTGCTGAAAAGATGGGCTGAAGAAACCTTTCATTACGGGGACCGCCCCACTTGAATGAAACGAGTGAATGAGAGTATCGCTATACATCATTTTGCTCGTCTACTCTTACAGGACAGACATTGTTCAACTTCCTCATTTCACATCTGTTACTCTTCTCTGTTCAAAAGAATATTCACGGTAAAAGTTCCCTGGGTCCTTGGGGGATCCACAAGCTTTTAAATGCTATTACCAAATGGGTTTCTGTGTGTGGGACTTCCACATGGGTCTTTTTAAAAGTTCTTATAGACATTGTATTTTATTTTTAAATACAGTTTGGATTCATTGCATAAGAGGCATTGGCTATTGGCAGTGGAGGGTAAATTATCAAACATCTACCTATCTTATTTAGCTTGTACTCTTTTTTGATATAGGGATTATGGGAAAGGAGAGAAAAGAAATATTTTTTTATTGATGTGCAAAAATCACAGGTGCTAAAATACCTATTGAATAGCATTTATCTCTGGAGAAATATAAGGATCTCAGAGTAGTGAATGGAAAATATTTCTTTGTGTACTCTCCCTTATTTTTAAATAATCTGGATTTATTCACTTATATAAGTGGTTGTTAGCTTCTTAACCCAAGATGACAGTGATCTGGTATTGTGTATCTAAATATGCCACAGGACATCATGAAGAACTTCGGTAGAGCAGTAGAGATGCTAGGATGGTAATAGAGCTTATTCATCACCCCTGCAAGACTTTACTGGCCTGTGATTCAAGAGGTCTGAGTTTCACTTTTCACTGTCTTTTTAGGTCCCCAGGATATGTGAACACTCTTATAGTATTAATATTTACTGTATGCCAGGGACTGTTCCAAGTGTCATATGAAGATTAACTCACTGGATCTTCAGGACAAACCTATGAGATACACGGTGTTAACATCTTCATTTTACAGATGAAACTAGACACAGAGGGGTCACATCATTTGTTTAAGGTCCCTCTGTTAAGAAGTGGGTGGAAGTGGGATTTGAACCCAGGCAGTTTTGACATCACATTGCCTGCAATAATAAAGTGATGAAGTTTCTCTGGGTGCTTCATTCTCCCAACTATAAACATGGGGTAAATTACCTTCTATTCCATGTCTTTGTAGAATTTAATCCACTTAAAAATGCACTCTTTACATTACTATGGTATTGACATAAGCATACGTGTATATCTTTCTGTATCCCAGGCTTCTGTCTTACACCTAAATCTATTCTGTCACATTCAACAAGTGTTTCACGTATAACTTTCCTCCTTCTCAGACTAGTTTATAAACTGTTTGGGGATGGGGTGGGTGACATTTTGTTCTCCTGCCATGAAATGCCTAGCATAGTACTAAGCACTCAACAAATATTTATCAATATTTAAACATCAAAAATTGCCCATCGATTTAATTAAATATTTCTATAAATTCCACTCTGGTTAAGGGGTTTAAAGGAAATATGTATTATATATGCCATCTCTGAGTAACTGATACTGGTTGATTCAAGGTTTATGGACCCAAATGTCTTCTCTCTACTGTTTGTATTTTCCACATATTGAGAATATGTATTAGTCTCTATAATGACTCAAACACCCCTGAGCATTCAACAGGTAATAAAGGCTGAGCGAGGACATGGTGATACTCATCTGACATACTCATGATTTGGAGCAAATTTACATTTCAAGTCTGGGGGGAAAAACCTTTCTGTGAGTGTTGTCTTTGAACATATTCATTAAATCATGATTTAGAGCCATCCAGATACAATGGTTTTATACTTTTTTTTTTTAATTCATGTTGTTTGTGTTTGCAGAGTAAACTCACTACAATTACTTTCCAGTAGTTTACATTATTGTTCTTTCATGGCTATAGCAGTCTTACAACAAAATAAAAGCAAGATCAAAAAGCATGGTGAAGTCAAGGAATCTGAGTTGTTTTTCTTATTTGTTTAGCTTTTAGGAGTGGGAAAGCTTTTTGTTGGCATGCAGATTTTTCTTGTCTTTTAATTTGTTTTAAATGAGCTAATGAATTTGGCTAAATAAAAGAGCATACACATGTGAGGGAATAATCAAATTGTTATAGCTAAAACAGATGCCATTTTATCAGATTATCAGCTGTTAGAGAAAGAAGTTCCCAATGGAAAGGCAAATTGTTGACTAATCAGTGATGTGGCTTTAGTTAAAGGTTATTTTTAGTGAACTGAAAGAAGAAACATTACCTACAATTTTCTTTGCTCCCAATTTTTCATCCACTTAGAAAATATTTCAAGGGAGTATACTAGTTAGAATTAAAGTCGTATTACTTCAAATTCACAAGTTTGCTGATGAGTTGGACTCCTTATGGGCCCTGGCTCAAGGCACACTTACCTGCTGCACAGGGACAGATAATGGTTGAATCACAGCCGTGGTCACCCCTGTCTTTGGAGATGATGATCCTATTGTCAAGGAAACAGAAGTTGTTTTCTTTTGAGCTCTGGAAAATAGAAGGTGAGTGCTTAGCCAGAATTTTTTTTTTTTTTTTTTTTTAGCAGAGATAATTCTTTGAAACATTTCAACAGAAAAGCTGGGTGTCTTTTTGTATGCTCAATCCACTTCAACTGTAATTGCTTCCGCAATGGGAATGCATAACCTACAGCTAGAATAGCTGTGGTCAGTATATGCGTGTGCCTTATAGACATTTAGCAAAACAAGTACATGAGTAAAAGAAAAGTGACTAGATGTAACTGAGACATTGTTGAAGACGCTAAAGTATTAAACTTGAAAATCCTAAGAAAATATTTGGAAAAAATAGCTGTGGTCAGTACATGCATATGCCTTATAGACATTTAGCAAAACAAGTACATGAGTAAAAGAAAAGTGACTACATGTAACTGAGACATTGTTGAAGAGGCTAAAGTATTAAACTTGAAAATCCTAAGAAAATATTTGGAAAAAATCCTATCTTTATTAATAAGCAGATATTTGAAATGTTTAGGGTTAGGGTCCTATATTTAACTCAAAGTTTTGTTAGTCTATTTTAAGTCTAGCAGCTGTTCTTTGTTCTGGTTTCTAATTTTGTTTTCGGAATCTCGGAATTTTTGTGTTTTCTTAGTGCATGTAAGTTAGTAAGGTGTTCAGAGAAGACAAGAAGAGCTGGTTTCTAGGCCCAGCTTTGCCAAGTAGCTGGCTGTGAAATCTGAAGCAAGCCATGTAACTTCCCTAAACTGGAGCTCTTCATCAAAAATCAGGGGTGGTAAAATAATCTTATAGGGTCCCTTTAGCATCACTGATTATTTGATGCTGAATGGATATAATTTTTATGTACATACTATCAGATAAAATAAATTTATTAGAACAGACTCAGTATTTATGGACTTTTCTATAACACAAATTTCTGGTAGATTTATTTTTGCAAACCAATTAAGATATTAACATTTTAAATAATTGGTAGGTCTTCGTAGGAATAACTAACTTTTGTGAATTTCAGGTACATGCTCTAAATAGAAATAGATTGTATTCAAATGAAAACCTACTTCTGGCCTAATTAGATATTTTCCAACTTGCATAAATAAATTGGCCCTCACAGTTTAGTAACGATTTAACTGATTTTCTCTTAATGTGACTTCTCTTTCCATACATTTATAAGTTAGATGGCTGTCTTTGAAACTAACATTGTATACGGTAAAATTCTGGCCTATCAATGATAAAATGCAGACTTCAAAATTCAAATTTACAAGTTAAAAATTGGGTTTGGGCTGAGCATGGTGGCTCATGCCTATAATCTCTCCCAACACTTTGGGAGGCTGAGGCAGAAGGATCGCTTGAGTCCAAGAGTTTCAGACAAGCCTGGACAACACAGTGAGACCCCATCTCTACCAAAAAATAAAAAATAAAAAAAAGATTAGCCAGGTGTGGTGGTGCATGCCTGTAATACTAGCTACTTGGGAGGCTAAGGTTGGGGGACCACTTGAGCCTGGGAGGTCAAGGCTTCAGTGAACCATGCCGTACCACCGTACCCTAACTTGGGTGACAGAGAGAGACCCTGTCTCAAAAAAATATACTGTGTTCCAACTTCAGTATTTGATCTCTGATTAACATCAGTTGACTTTTTTCTTCAAAGCACAGCAAGAATAGTTTCCTACCCAGCCATTCTGTTGCCGTTGTTTCTAGATAACTGATGGAATTGTAGGCACTTACTGTGGCATAGCTCCAGCTTTTGATTTGAAAGCTAAACTTTCACCGTCGGAATCTGTTGAACTGGCACCTAGGAAAGCATTCAAGATAATGGTAAAGTTAAGATATCAGTGTTATCTATAATAATTGCAAAGAATTATATTCCCCTTAAGTAAAATAAAATACAAAGTCTTTTTGACCTAAACACACAATAAAATAGAGTGATTCAGGCTCAGACCATTTTTTTATTTGTACTGTTTCTTCAGAAACGTATTTTTAAAAAGTACTACTACATATATATTTCTTCAAAACAATATAATTTTAACAGCATATATATTATTAGTTTCATTTTTATCACTGTGGTCATCACAACTGTACTTTTAAATGGCTACAAGCGTTGAAATAAAGGTGTGTGTGTGTGTGTGTGTGTGTCTGTGTGAAGAACACCCATGCTTTTAAACTGTAACCTTCTACAGAGATTGCAGGGTAAGGACTGATAATATCTTTATTACTCATTAATCAGAAGATGCTTTCTGGCTCTTGGGTACAACTGAGTATGATGGTGGCTCTGTTCTTGAATAAGAGGGCCTTTGATTTTGGATCATGGCTTCCCAGATTCACTTGCCTTATTACTGTTCTTAAATAAAGGATGGACTTACCAGATATTTAGTCAAAAGGTAAACTGCAGTCAGATTTTGATGTTTACATATTTCATGTCAAGAGATTTTAGGTGACAGACTTTACAAAACTGCAAGGGTTCAAAGATAAGTGGTACCTTCCTAAATGCCATTCCCAAATACCATATTATATCTGGATGTGTATTGTTCCAGATAAGTTTTCTTTTTTTTTCTTTTGAGATGGAATCTTGCTCGGTCACCCAGGCTGGAGTGCAGTGGCGCAATCTTGGCTCACAGCAACCTCCGCCTCCTGGGTTCAAGCAAATCTCCTGCCTCAGCCTCCTGAGTAGCTAAGATTTACAGGCATGTGCCACCATGCCTGGTAATTTTTTGTATTTTTTTTTGGTAGAGATGGGGTTTCACTATGCTGGCCAGGCTGGTCTCTAACTCCTAACCTCAACTGATTTGCCCACCTTGGCCTCCCAAAGTGCGGGACTACAGGCGTGAGCCACTGCACATGACCCAGATAAGTTTAATACAGCATATCAACATATTTACATTTATGTACCTATTTATACAAATGGATTCACATGCCATGCACACTTTGCATTTGGCTACTTTTGCCTATCAGCAGATTTAGAATATGTCCATTCACTCCATTCTCTTGGATAGCTGCCTAGTATTTATTCTTCCAGTGACTCTACTGTGAAATGTTTTCCAGTCTTTTATTGACGTTGAAAACAGTCATGTTTAGGTAACTCTGCTGGAATGTCTGCTGTCCCTTCCTATTCATTTCTGTATCCAGCATTCAGTGCAGGCTTTCTTCACCTGGTTCCTGGACTACCACAATGCATTCTTGTCTTCCTATCTCCTCCTTCTCAAAGTCATCTTTGCCCTTCCTATGTCGGGCTGATTTTCCTAGGGCATGCTTTCCCGGTTAAAAAACGAGATGATTACAGTCTCTACTCAGTACATTAAAAATCCCCAAATTTGTCATTTAATGACTCTCATAATTTCCAACTTCATTTTCTAGCTCTATTTGCCAGAACTTCTTGGTCTTCAAGTCATGTAACCCTAATTCAGAGAGTTGAATTCTCTCGCACACCTAATGTGTGCACTCCATAGGTAAGTAAGGGATATGCAGTGAAGATATACACACACACACACACACACACACACACACCACACTCCCCCACATCCCACCACACACACACACACCCCCCACACCCATACTCACTCCACCACACACACACACCACACTCCCCCACACCCCACCACATAC